CACAAAACTGTTAAGACTCGTTTAATGGTCATCAGTGTCTTAAATGCTAAAACGTTTTTATTATTTTGATAAAAAAATAGAAAAATAAATGTATTTGTATTTATATATGTATTATATCTTTTTTGCGTCAAATTACAAAAAAACAAAAAACAAATTAAAGCTTATCTGAGGTGTTTTTTAATGCAGCATCTATGGGGCAGGACAGTAAATTTGATGCTGTTTTCTCTTCTAGCTGCCATTAAATTTGCCCAACTATGATTACTTCTCTGCTGAGAAACCCGGATATATGAAAAGGGTCTATTCTTTCCAAATAGAGCCATTCAAGACATTAAGGGTGCTTTCACACCTGTGAATCGATTCAGTTGTTCCGAAACAGAGATTATAAATGTTACATTGTTGCTCTTTGCTCTTGGAGCGGTTCGCTTTCACACTGCAAAGTTTCCAATCGGACCAAAAGAGATAAAACAAGTCACGTGCGAGTGAACTCTCCTCACATTGGTCAGAGTGTCAGGGTTTATTTTGCAGCGTCCCGCTCAGCTGTCAGGAGAGGTGGTGGTTTGGTGGTGATTGACAAGGTGCACGCGCGCGACGTGTCTAAGGAGAGACGCGGTGGGGAGGGGTGAGAAGGGTGCGCGACGATGCCTATTTGAGGACCGGGAGGGAGACGCGAGATTACCGGGAGATCATCACTTATTTGCGGGCATCCGGAGACTCGCGAAACTTCCCGCCCTACTCATAATTCTCTCTTTATATAGCCGTAAGCCTATTACATATCCATAAAACACTGTGATATAACCGCGCTCGGATCGGATCGCTTTCTCACTGTAATCGAACCGCTCCAGGGTTCGTTTCAATCGAGCCGAGACCACCTCATTCAAGCGATCTCGGAGCGATTACTTTGGCGCGGAACAGAGCGCGATTGCCCTGTTCACATATGCCAATCGAACCGTGCTAACTGGGCAAACGAGATACGTTCCGAAACAAAAGTGTAGGTGTGAAAGCACCCTAAGTCTAATTTTCACATGAAATCAGAAGTTCAGATTTCAAATTCACATTTAAAACTCCTAATAGAAGAAGCTCTGGCATAAATTTGGACAAAATATTACTCGCAGTTGTATATCATTTTAATTGCCCAGCTTAATTGCATCTAGGAATGCTCATTTCGGTTAATTTTGCTAACCGACAACCGCCACTCGTTAATCGGATATTAGCGGTAACTGGTCAACTGTTTTCAGTCGGCTCATAAAAATGAGACTCAAACCGTGAGAAAACGCATGATATTATAGTTTACAAAGTTAAAATGCAATGAAATAAACAGTAATTTAATGCCCTGCTACATTTGTTAACCAAAATGTATGTCATTATAAAGATAATCGTGTTCATATAAACACTTTAAATGAGGACTTTTCCCACAATCCCCAGTCTGAATCATAGGTCTGAATGCAGACTCAGTGCAGCAGGTGCCTTGCCCTGCCTATTTTAACCATTACCCCTCTTGGTAATCTAGAGGACTTAGGCAAACACAGCAGCACCGCGATGTGTCTAAATGTGAACAAACTCCTGATAAAAGACAACGCCCGTCATTCTCCAATTCTTTTACTGCTCTCCCAACAAAAATGCTTGCTGCACACAAACAGCTTTGCTGTTTCGACCCTGACAGCATTGCGGGGAAAAACATCCAATAAACCCTGTGGATCATGGAAACAAACACATACGACCCTTTATGAACGGCTAATACAGTGTGCCGTGGGTCCGTGTCTCAAAGCTTGGCAGTGGCAGGTCTGTTTTGCCTTCGGAAAGCACGCGCAGTCATGAATAATTAAGAAGCCGGCTCTTCTCATAGGATAAGAAAACTCCGCTATGAGTAATAATGAGAGACCAACGCATCATCTTTGCACTTGCAGTTTTGCGATTCGTTGCCGATTTTGATCCTGCCCCAAAAATCATTTTAAACCCGGAAGATGAAATTAGCTGACAAAAGCTCAAATTATCCAGTTTACCCTACAATTAAAGCTGACAGGTGCTAATGTTGTCTTAACTGATGCTCAATACACACAAATCTGTTAAAATCCCAATCAGCGCTGGTTTGGTATCAACTCGTCTGTAACAAACAGCAATATTTTTTTCCATTTTGCTTCTTTGGCAAATATGTCTGTAGGCATGTGTGGTTACAAATTACCGTCCCGCGAGTTAACAAATATGTGGTGCAGTTGAACAAGGGGCCGATCACAGCAAACGCACTTTTCCATTCCAAAAAAAAAGTGAGCCGCACCTCACTGCCTGTTATGTTGACAAGGAAAAAAGCAGCGGTTCTCTTTTTTTATGTCCCTATGAAACGACTGAATCAGCTGGGTAAGGATTGTGCAACAGTGTTGCTGTCTATGTTGTTAAAATTGTAATATTTAATAATATTGTGATATTCAAGATTTGTTAAGTCATACAGCTCTGGATAACTTGAAACAGCGAGCAATCACTCCTACATCTTCAGTGTTTCCTCTGGGATTTTTTTTCCAGTTGTGGCAGCAGACCTTTTACACAAATCTACCAACTACACATGGCGTTATTTCAATGACAAATGGAGAAATGTCATGTGCGCGCAGTATTACAAGCTGAGATCGTATTTTTGTGCAATAGCAGTGTGCTTGGTGCCGATTTGTTCTGCTTGTGCACAAAACCTCTTGCACGCCCCCTCAAATATACGCTGCTCAAGCGCAGATCTTCTTATGCGCTCTCAAATAAAACCTGCTGAAATGCGATTTGGCGCGTTTGTGTAGTGAGTATGTCTCCAACAATTATTAGATTTGCAAGGTATATTTATGAATTTCTCCAATAGACCTAGAGAGCGGCATTAATGCATCCTAAAGTAAAGTGAAACAGCTATAAACTCCAGCAAGGTAAAGTCATTATATGCAGAACCACAGACCTTTATCTATAAATAAAGTATAATTTTATAAGCTGTGTTCATCCTAACTGAAAGCTCTGTCGTGTTTGCTGGCCTCATGCATCATGCACCTTTCAGTCAGTCAGCACGTAACCTTTAAGGGTTTAACAAATAATGCACAGCACTATATGGTTACAGAAAAGTTTGCGCTGTTATAATTCTCTTACCTTTTAATACGTTTAGGTGCAATTATAATCCGCTATTAAAAACAACAACAACAATGACTGAATGTTTTCAATGGGATGCTGTAATTTAGCCGTGAAGGGATGCATTTTGGTCCCTGCCATTAAAGAATGAATGTAGCGGAAACCATGCTCTTTTAAAAGTTCTCTGAAGTTGTCTTGACAACACACACACTGCTGCTCTGAGTAGAGCCGCGTACAAAACACTTGCAACCGTTAGTAAACTATTCAAAAGATACCCCTCTTAATGCAAAAAGCACATTCGATCGGCTCCTTATACAGCCAAACTAAAATATATATAAAATAATATTTTTTAATCATTTAACTGATACCATTAATAGGTTACAAACTCACCCTTTGGATTTACAGTAAATCGATTATTATGAGCATCCCTAATTGCATCAGAAATATTTTACATTACTGCAAGAAGATGACTGTCATCCTTTTTTTGTGTAGTAGTATGGTTATTAGTGTAGTATAGTTATACTTTACATATTCTTTTATATATTCTTTATGGTGTTTAACCCTTAAAGACCGAGACAGCCGCCCGCGGCTAAAAATAAGTATTGCTCTTAAATGTTTAATAACTTTTGATCCGCTGATCCGATTCATACAATTCAAAGATTGGCATAAAGAAGAGAATCTCAGCTTTCCAGTGCTGTATCACATAACATTCGCGGACTTTCAGAGGCTCCGGAATCAGTGCGGTTACGTCATCAAAATTTGACAACCCTGATTTGACAAAGAAACGCTCGTCACTGTGTCTCCGGACAAACCAGACATCATACATTAATGCATTGTCCCTCCTCCATGCCCAGATTGGTTCAAACTCGCTATATCACAACCAATAAGCATAGGTTTCGCTTTTGTTTGTGGACCAACAAGCTTTTTGAACAACACGGAATGAGAGATACATGAGGCATACATTTATGCGCGGCTAAATAAAACGCAAAAAAAATGTTTTGCATGAAATAATTCTCATACTAAGTACTTTTGCATGCACAGCAGCACAGAAACATGACAAAACAGAGACACAGCAAAGACGAACTGCTGCTCTTGCTGTTTTCAAAAGACGCAAATGAAGGTGCAGCTGTTTGTCTGCATTGCAGACAACCATATCCAAATCCATATCCACGGACAACCATATCCATGCTGGCACATAAAACCTAAGGATGTTCCATATTGAACCTAGTTTCGTTATGTAACTATTTACTGAGGATTTGCACCATGTTTATTTGGACTTTGACACATTATTTATTATTTTCTTATTTTTTTTATTTGTTCATTGTAAGTGGTGTTGTTTATAGTAACTGAAAATATATTATTTGGAAAAAGTCAAATTTGCTTCACTGTTCTATTATTTTGTAACATTTTTTTCTGTTTAGTTAATTCCCAGAACTTTTGGGGAAAATACATTGTCAGTAAATAAATGCATTTTTTTCTCCCATAGAAAAACGCCTTGGAATAACATTGAAATAAATTGCTATAACTTGCTCAGGGAATTGTAGATGTAGACAAAATTTATTTTGGAAGTATAAAACATCATAGCATGTATTTCTAAAGAAAGAAAAACAAACTTCATAAGGTTTTGTTTGAAATAACTAGAAAATGTCACTTTTTTAAAAAATCGTTTCTGGAAAATTCTGGAATATTTTCTGTCTGTTCATATGTTTTTGGACCAAAAAATATTTTAGACTGGACCTTTAAATGATACAGATTGAAACTTCAGGTTCTCCTGTTTAAAATGATATATGACACTTGAGGCTGACTGCTAAAATAAAAATAAAACTGCTTTTAAAAAAAATAATAATATAGGCCCATTAGGTGCCCACAAAATACCTCTAGGTCTTTAAGGGTTAATGTTTTCTCTCTTTCAGGCTCCACCTAAAGAAGTTCCCAAGACAATAGAAAACCAGAGAATATACGATGAAACTACAGTCAATCCAGAGGATGAGGAGGTGATTTATTTATTTTTTTTCTCAAACCCCGTTAAATCTGCTGGTGATTCTCTAGACACCTTATTTACAATATTGAACCCTTTTTTATTTTTTAAATCCAGGTGGCTTTTGATGAAGGAACTGATGAGTTCTCGGCTTACTTCAATCGGCTTACAAATCCTAAAGTTCTCATCACCACTTCAGACAGGCCCAGAGGAGTGAGTTCATTTATATTATTCATTCATATTTTATGTCATTCTTTTACTAAATAAGCATTTCAGAATTGATATTTAATATTGTAATTGTGTACCTGGTTTCAGAGGACGGTGAGATTTTGCGATCAATTGGCAACAGTAATCCCACATGCATACGTGTACTACAGAAGAGGTCTGGCTCTGAAAAAAGTCATTCCACAATGTATATCAAGGGGTTTCACGTATCTTATGGTGATTAATGAAGACCGAAAAGTGCCAAGTATCCTTTTCTCAGATATCAATGTTACCACTGTTAAGATCTTCTTAAGAAATGTTTGTATTTTGTACTTGGTGGGGTATTGGGATATATTACCTAAAATACTTTCCATCACTTAAAGTGTTACAGATGGTATGGTTCTTTGTCACCTTCCCGATGGGCCAACTGCACATTTCAAAGTCAGTAGTGTTCGCCTTCGCAAAGAAATGAAGGTAAGTTATATTTTTTGTTGTTGTTTCTGAATTTGAATGCTAGGAAATTTGGAACAATCTATAAGACAATATAAGACATTTTCTGGTCCTTATCACACAATATAACATTTTTCTAGAATCGTTAGCGTAATGTAAAGAGTGCTATAGGAATTAAAGGTTTTTTTCAGTCAAACACAGAAGTTTGCATCCCTCAGCAAAAAATTTGTAGTGTTTTCACTGACTTTTGAAATATTGCAGAAAGGAAGCTTTTAGCCAAGCGGTTTATTATTTACCCATTTGTTTATCATAATATCTCGACAACTGAATGCAACCTGTTGTAAAAAAAAAAATGATAAAGAAGAAGAGAAGAGAGAACCCAGTCCAGGAGACTCGAAAACAAGCAGAATTCCTTTATTGTAACGGGTTGGTTAATCTGCAGTCATACAGCGTCTTCAAGAAGTCCATGTGTCTGCAGGAGCCTACTGGAGGTCTGCAATCTGCGAGCTTTATCACAAGTCTAATTTGAGACAGAGATGTCATGTCTGTATTGTGTTTTTAGGAGGAAGAGAGATGGCTAAACAAAGCATGCAAATTCAGTTTTGGAGTCAGCTGGTTAAATTGGCATATAGGTGTTAGGTACCGGCCCAGCTACTGACCACACAAGTTAATTAACAAAAGGGTTTCTTTATCATGAGGACAGACTTGAGAAGACAATATACACAGCTGTGCTGTAAAACATAAAATTTACATTACTTTGGAGACAGACAGGGTGTAGGAAACCAAAACATTTTAAGGTCCGTCACAACCTAAAAACAACTTTTCAGTTATATATAGATTATATAAATTTACATCCCTTCAAACCTTTAAGAATCAATGAAGCCGTCGGTGCCAATAGCTTCGTGGTGACCCGAGTTCGATTCCCTGCTCTAGGTCCTTTGCTGATTCTTCCCCTCTCTCTGCTCCCAATGCTTTCCTGTCGGAACTCTCTACTGTCTTATCATAATAAAAGATTGATGTTGATCAATCATACTAAAATAATACGTGACAGAAGTTCACTCAAAAGTGAAAGTCATTAATTACTAACACTCCCGTCATTCCTACTACTTTCAGAACATAAATTTAGATATTTTACCATATGAAAATGCAATGAAACTATGACAATTGTGAAATTAAAGCAGTAGTGCAGAGATCTGGTCCCCACGTCAGGTCAGGGTGGGCCTGTAGCCTTTTAAACGCACATGCGGAGGCACACTAAACTCACATGGGAAAGAACTGGGCATTCATTTCATGTTTTAGTTAAATAATTCTTTAAATACAACTCTCTTGACCTCTAAAGGGGAAAAAACGCAAAAGAAATTTGCTGTTAAATAAATTTTTGCAGTGACGTAACTGCCTGTCATTTTCACATTCGTTTTCAGTTAGGGGTCAGATCTATTAGAGTAACCTAATAAAAATGTTTTGTTGGACACTGCACAGTAGACTACACTATAATCAATATTATAATTTATTATATTCATTATTATTAAAAATATATTTTGAGTTTAAAGATGATCTTCCTGCGAAGTCAAGTTTACAGTGTCATATATGAAATAGGTAGCATGAGTAAAGGGGATTTGCCGCATCAACCTCTCGTATGCACTGCAGGCAGGCTGAATGATAATCTTTAAAAATATATATGCAATACAAAACTTTAAACATTTATGTTGTTTGAAATAAAACGGAAAGAAATCATACGCTGATACTGTATTATTTGTAGCGAGAAGGAAAAAAAGCAGATGATAACCTGGCTCGGGAGAGGGCTATAACATTCATTATCTGTTCTTCAGAAAAGATCACGACATTGTGAAGGCATTGTGGAGAATATATTAACTAATTTTAATTCTCTCTTTAGACTTTGTTTTAGGGCTTGTTCTTGTCGACGCAATATAGCCTAGGCTTATTGCATGTACGAATGCGATTGTGAAGAATGATTAGGGGCTTGCATTTTTTTATTGCGTCCTTTTCACAAGTTTTTTCTTGTGATTTTTCCTCCCGTCCCACCAACAAATAACGTATCCGACCTAAGTTAATTTACCTTTTTATGTAAAATTTAAGGAATAACTTATGACTTAATTAAATATTAATTAATAAAACATTTGTATAAACGTATGTGTTCATTTTTTACCTTTCGTTAATAAAACAACACAATACTGTTTATAAATATTGTAGTTAAATATTAAATAACTTTAACTGCTTGAAACCGTATAATAATAGTAACAATTAATTGTTACATTTTTAAGATCTTCACAAATAGCCTAAATGGCTCTTTACTAATCAGTAATAATATAAATACTAATGAACATAAGTAAAAAAAAATATTAGCCTACTAGAAACAAAAGTCAGATGTTTATAAAAAACAGTGTAGGTTCTCTTCTTTTGTATTCATATTTTAAATTATTTGCCAGAAAAAATAACATGTTGACTTTGTCCGGTTTAAGTGAAGAATGAGGTTATAATGTTTCCAGCAATACACATTCACACGGTGTGCTTGTAGCGCAAATGCACAGATAGGCTACTTTTTCACAACCATGCGAGAGAGGGTGTCTTGCTTCTGTTCCGCCGCCTGCATTTCTCGGAAAGCAGGTTTCTTTTCACTGCGGAGCCGTGCGCCCTTAACTTAAGTTACCAATTATGTTGCTCCATTTCTCGTCAATGTCTTCCATTTATCACTTTCTCTTTTGTATCTGCCCATTTTTGGAAATGCCTCCTCCATACCCGGCTGACTAGCTAGCCTACGTGGCTTTTTTCCCTCGCCGTCTATCGCCACTGGCTTGCATGGTTCGGGACCCGTGGAGCTGCGTATCGATGGATTTGCTCTTTAGTGTTTGGACTCTCAGCAGTGAATATTAAAATACACTTTAACACTTTAAAAAATAATCCAAATTAATTAGTTCACCTTTCTCGGTCGGCACAAATCCAAAATGTTTCCAGATGTGAGATTTTTTTTTTTCTAACAAAATTTATGGTTAAACTTGCTGAATCGCGCCTAATGTTATATTCTAACAGAAATGTAATCCTTGGCAACATAACGGTAATTTGTGTTTTAAAGTGCGTGATGTAAAGTGTGTATTACGTAAAGTGCATAAAGTGCGTACTACCGCCGGTGGCAATAAACAACCGAGGTGGCAACTGACCACTGCGGTGACGCGGTTATCAAGGTGACCGTCACAGCCCTATCTGGTCCTGTAGCCATGGAGGAGCTGGTCACAGACCCGCCTACCCCTCCAGTGGGTGAAAGCACATGAAGGCGTTGGATGAGGGGACAGGGAGTGATTGCCTATTCGTAGGTGTGTATGTGTGTAAGCCTGTAGAGTTCAACAGGTGTCCTTGACAGGGAGCAGGAATTTCAGAGCGTCTCCTTATCTTGCTATCCAGGAGAAGGCCGTATGGGAACAAAAATGTTTTATTATTGAAAATCAAACTCCTGTTGCTTTTATTAAGAACATTACTGAAATCAGCCTTTAAGTTGGATAGTCAGGCATGTGTTTTGATCCAGGAGTGCAGCACCTAGTTCGACCATTGGATGTCAAACTTGTATACTGCACCTTTAATAAATTTGCATGTGATTGCATACGTTGGAAATTAGACAAAAAATAGGGAGAAATAAATGAAGTATGGTCTGTTACATCTTCATTATATTTTTGATTAGACGTGTATTTATTAGTTAATTGTTTACAAAGTTCAGTACTGTCAAACTGATCAAAACGTATATTTTGTCATACAGCAAAATTACATTATTCCTTCTTCATAATGTTTTTTGATATTAGATGAATATAGTAAATTAAGTGTTTTGTCTGTATAATTTGAGCCTAAGAGTAATTTATAGTGAAAATTGCACTAGTTTTGTGAGTGTTTTTTATTTTATTTGATTGAAATTGCATTGCTCCTTGTTTGCTGCATTTGTTAAAATTTAGGATTTCAGTTTGAGTTCAATATGCATTTTTGTACCATTCTAAAAGGTCAACTCTATTTAATCTTCCCTGTTTTATTTTTTTTTCCTTTAGAGAAGAGGTAAAAACCCAACAGAACACTCCCCAGAAGTCATTCTCAACAACTTCACTACAAGACTTGGTCACTCCATTGGCCGTCTCTTTGCTGCTCTGTTTCCTCATGATCCACAGTTTGTGGGCCGTCAAGTGGCCACATTTCACAATCAAAGAGACTTTATCTTTTTCAGGTTTCACAGGTAAATGTTATTTTGGATAGTATTTGAAATTCATCTTTTACGTTAAAATATTCCAAATCAAGGTTTGTGAGTTTTAGTTTTAATGTGGAGAAACAGATTTAACTCTCATGTTAAGAATCATTTTGTTTTATATTTAAATAATTTTCAGGCCATTTGTAATGGTTCTATTATTTAATGTATTTTAGGCCACTCTTTATCTTAATGTACAATTTGCGCTATTAACAAACTATTAGCTGGGACTTTTAGCTTCATAAACTACTAATTAGCTGTTTAATAATAGTTAGCAAGGTTGTTGTTGGCTTTATGTATTAGCTAGTAATAGGGATGTAAAATAAAATCTTACTTTTATGAGTGCTATTACACAGTTAATATCCTAATAATAGGCTGGTAATAAGCCTCTAGCAAATGGTGTGAATTGTCACTTTAAGCTAACATGTTATCATATTTTCATACAGGAAAAAATTAACAATACTTTTTTACAGCATTAATAGTTTTTTGTTTTTTAAGTTATTTAATGAAAGTACTGTCGTTAGTTGTTAAATCTTGTTAACTCTGTGCATTAACTAATGTTAAAAAGTTAAATTAGGACTTTAATAATGCACTAGTAAACTATCATTGAATGCAGTGCAAGTATTGTTTATTCGGATTTAATGAATTATATTGAGTTATATTTACTAACATTAAATTAACCCCATTGCCAAGTGTGACCAATTATTCTGTTTATATTTAGCATTTAATAATATTTGAACTGGGTGAAATGTGTTTCTACGTGACTAAATAAACTTCTTCATCCATTAGGTATATATTCAAGAATGAAAAGAAAGTGGGTATACAAGAACTAGGACCTCGCTTCACACTTAAACTCCGCTCCTTACAGAAGGGAACCTTTGACTCAAAATTTGGGGAATACGAGTGGGTTCACAAGGTCAGTTCTGAATCCCTAATCTTACTTTTGAGAATTTATTAAGGGCTATGAACATTTTGAGAGTATCTACATTCGGTGTCTTTATTTTCTACAGATGCTTGCACCAACACTGATTTGGTTTTGCTGTAGTTGTAGTATATTAAA